AACAACTGAATCAGAGAAGCATTTAAGTGCAGGAACCAATTTTCCCCACCGTATAAAAACCACATGAGTACGAGAGCCGAGCAATTACCGGCGACGATGACAGCTTTAGGGTGACGCTCGGGTCGTAAATTTCGCACTCCGCGAGCCGTTGGGAGATTTCTACATGCTTTGGATATCAGGACAGTCTCCCATAAATCGCCGAAATGTCTATTAGAATTCCCATACCGCCGTTCCTCTTTTCTAACCCATCTCCTGGCACCGCCTGGGGAACTAACCCGGAGCGATGCTAACGGTGCCGCCGCCATCAGGGTGACTGCTAAGGGAAGACGAGGAGCTAATTTGCACTGGAAGAGGACAGCGAGGTTGAGGACGCTGGAAATCGCTGAATGCTGGAGAAAAGGAGAGGAGATATTGAAAAAATCCACTCAAGACTCACCTAATCAATCAAAGCGTGTGTGTGTGTGTGGTGATTAAAAAGCACTCAGGTGGAATTTGTTACACTGGAGACTTTTTTCACTCCTCAAAGGAAGAAAAAGAGCCGGCGAGTGGCTAAAGCCGGAATAGGAGTCCAGATCAAGAAGCTAGCCTTGGAGCTAATCATTTTCTCCAAGTACAGTACAGTCTGCAAACATTTCAACCTCATTGTACGAACCCCAGCTAAAAAAAAAAAAAAAAGTTTAACCGGATGAAAAAGCAATAAGAATGGTAAATGGTGTGAAATTTCAGGCCGATGCACTGTATTTTCTGTGACAGAGCAGAACGTAGCGATTCTCGTGTCTAGAAATGTGTCTAGGTCAAATTTCACACAGAAAATCAAATAGAAAAAAAGTGATTTCAAATAGAAAATATGATTTCTTTCATCTCTGCAACGTTGAGCTGAATTTTCGGCTCATGATGTATATCACACCGCTAAACTTTCATGATAATTAACCGTCCTTTCACTTGATTTTTATAATGGTATAACACTGTTCTTCTGTATCATGTGTATCACATTCATTGATTTTCCTTCGGCTTATTCTCTATTTATCAGGGGTCACCACAGCGAAATTAACCACCAACTTATCCACCACGTTTTACACAGCGGATGCTCTTCCAGCTACAACCCACCACTGGGAAACATCCATACACTACAGCCAATTTAATTAATCCAATTCATATAGTGTATGTCTTTGGACTGTAGAGGAAACAGGAACACCTGGAGGAAACCCTCCGCAACACATAGAGAACATGGAGAACTCCACGCAGAGATGCCAGTGACCTGCTTGCTGTAAGATGACTGTGCTAACCACTGAGCCACCGTGTCGCCTCACGTGTGTCATATTTTTATTAAATATATTTACAACAAATGATATTAACTGCTACTGCTTTTCCAATTAAAATAAGTATTTCTATAGCTATTAATTATTTTACACTGTGACATTTCCATGATAATTAAACAAATGATCTCCAACATTGATTCTTATTACAGCATTTTGCACTGTAAAATACCGTATTAGTACAATTATTAATTTTTTTTCATTGTTTTGTTTAATGAAGCAGAATTTCATCATATAGTGTACAAAGTTTGGCCAATTTTAGGGGGCCATTATTTACAATCACATGATGACATTTCAAATTTGATTACACTAATTGAATTAGTATTATGTGTTATGTATTTGTAAGGCCATTACTTATTTTATACTGAGATATTTTCATTATAACATTTTTTTTTTATTTTGACAATGATCCTCAGTAAAGAATTCTGTACTACAATTTGCACAAAAATTACTATCTACCTTAATCAAATTTGATAAAAAATAAAATAAATAAATAAATTATTTTCACCATTTATTCCTCATTTTGAAAACAATTAACTACGATTGAGGGCAATATTATGTTTAGCCCTCCACTGAAATGTGTATTCTTCTTCAAATATGCCCAAAGTTGTGTTTAATGAAGCAAATACATTTTCACAGATTTTCCTATCATTTTTTTCTTTTAGAAAAAGTATTTCTTTCTAAAATAAAAGCATTGTTTACATTTTTTAAAGGGTACCTATTTTACTCTTTTTAAAGATTTAAGATAAGCCTTTTGTGTCTCCAAAATGTGTCTGTAAAGTCTCAGCTCAAAACACCCATCAAATCATTTGTTATTTCATTTTAGAATGTTAGGTTTTTTTGCTTTGAACACCATGTAGCTGTTTTCGTGGCCTGTGCCTTTAATGCTGGTTCTCCCTGCCCACCGTTCCCATGTGCCTGTCAGAGTGAGCCTGCATCTCTGCCTCAGCTGCCTCAGATAAACAGACAGACATAAAATAAGCAGATCTCACATAACATTTGTGAGAAATACTACAGTAAGAACTTTCCCAATGATTATTTGAGGTATTTGTTGTAGAGTTGATTCAAGCCATTCTGCAATGAGTCGCACAAAATGTTGTTACAAAGTTCATGCACACACAGACACACACAGACAGCGGACACACACACACAGCTGACACACACACATACACACACACATATACAGTGCGCGTGTTGTACTTTGCATTGTTTTTGCTCGCAAATGTGACAGGAGACATATCAATATCCACTGCTATATGGATATCCGTTATGGTAATGTACAAAATAAACCTGATTTAACATCCACAAACAGGGATTGAAGCGTCTACTTTTATAACTGTACTGCCACGCAGCTGTGGTTATAAAGTAAAGCTGAAGTAAATTGCTATAAATAATTAAACACATGCACTGTTTTAAAAGGGTTTTGAACTAGTGAAACTCATTCTTGATTGCATTTGATGATGATTGATGATCACAGAGAGCTCAACAGATCTTTTAATTCCGGTTTCTTTGCGCACAGCCTGTTTTGTTGATATGATTATACTAGGGTTGGGCATCTAAACTATAATGCCGATCCGATACGCATCTCGATACAAAGAATACGATCCAATATATTAGCGATACATTTGTGACATATTGCGATGCAACACGATACGATTCACACCTATATCACGATACAATGCGATAATTCAGCACTAACTTATTAGATCAAGTTTATAAGATGATGTGAAAGAGGATGCTGTGCCATTGAATGAGTTTGATTATTTATAAACCAAGCAAAACCAAGACTTTTTTTTTACAAACTGGCTTTTCTCTCAGAGCCAGAGTGTCAGTTTACAGTAGAGGGCCATTTTAGAACCTATAGCACATATTATTTGAGGATTTTCAAGATAAACAGAATGTATAAGTGCAATAAATGTTAAAAATATATATATTTGCACTCTTTCAACATAAAGGTTTACCATTGCACAACAAGAATTGTGATTTAACCTTTCAACTATGAAAACAAGTTTTACAAAGATATATTGTGCCACTGAATATTCAAAACTTAAGGTCGTGAACTAGCAGTGTTATGCTGCTTTGAAACATCACTGTCACTGTAAACAACAGGCTAATAAAAATATAAATAAATAAAAATTAACAGGAGGAGGTGTTTAAATCCTTCGTTCTCCGTGACACTAGGCTGAAAATCTTTGCAGATGAACAATGCAATAGCATTCGTTATTGCCGTAGAGCGCACAAAACTGTTGCGCATGGAAAAAACTTGCAATGCTTTTCTCACCACTTTTGGAGCTGGTAGCTACAGTTGAAGCAGAGCAGGAAGCAGGGGATGCAGGAACACTGGAAGATGCTTCCACAACAACACCGTGGCGCCGCTTCAAGTGAGATTTCAGATTAGTCGTACTGCCCGTGTATTTTACAGATGCGCGGCACATTTTGCAAATTGCATCTGTCCTAAAAAGTCATCCATCTTTTTTGCAAAATCCATAATGTTGCCATACTTAGATTTAAAACTCAGTGGTGAATAAAATGTTTGTTTTGCTTCTCGTGCTTTCTGAGGGCGCTCCACTAGCTTCATCCGCACACCTGATACACTGAGTTGTAGTGTAAGTGTACACATCCGCAAGTCCGTTGCTAAGGCATACTTTATGTAGGTCGATTAAATAATGCGCCAAAAACAGGTTGACAACACTTGTTAATAAATAAAAAATACATTCTATATTAAAAATATAAGCTGTATCTTGGAAAAACCGATGCATCTCGCAAAAACCGATGCATCTCGATTTGCTTCCAAAATTTCATTCATCCTCTGCTGCTCTACCGATGCACTCACATCGTGCACACACATGACCGCGTATCGATACATATCGGTTAATCTTCCCATCCCTAGATTATACGGGTTACTATAGGAACATGTTAATACACGGCTGTCTATCAATTCAGTTGGCAGGGAAACTGCACTCCTGCACTACACTGCGCTCTACCTCAAAATGGGCGGGATTTGGATCATATTTTAACGTCAGGAAATTTACTGGCTTTATATCACCCTAATATGACTGTAGACACACTATACCTACACACAGTTCTGTCTAAACTTGTCCAAGCTTACAAAAGAGGATTTTCAACAGAGGTGCCCTTTAAAACAAATAAGGTCAATATTTTTAGCCTCCTTAAGAAATATTTTATATAATATAAAGTGTCTATTTATGTTGGTGTGTGTGTGTGTGTGTGTGTGTGTGTGTGTGTGTGTGTGTGTGTGTGTGTGTGTGTGTGTGTGTGTGTGAGTGTGTGTGTGTGTGTGTGTGTGTGTGTGTGTGTGTGTGTGTGTGTGTGTGTGTGTGTGTGTGTGTGTGTGTGTACACTTGCCAACCTATCTTAAGAGGGGACATTGGTGCCATTACAAACCCACTAACAGGAGACCTGGAGCCAAGAAGAGACATGTTTCTGAAAAATGTCTCCTCGTGGACATGCCTTAAATCAGGTTCAAATCAAGTGAAAAAGATTGTTTGTTTTTTTTGAGAGGGAATCCAGGTGTATGTGTGTTTGTGTGTGCGTGTGTATAGTTAACAAAAAATCATGAAGCACTAAAACAGTAAGCGCAAAACCTTAATGAGCTTTTTTTACTCCCATCTGAATTTGGTCTGGTAGAGTAAGCGCTTATAGTGACATCAAAACAGTACTCACTTCTCATTGGCGGAGCTGGCTTTCCTCTGGCAGAATATGGACAGGGAGGAGGAGCCTGGCACCACTTCTTGCTTGATTTCCCATGTCGCCAGATTACCGGGCTTCACCACCATGAAATTAATGCCTTCTCCGTACTGGACTCTGAGGAAATCAACAACGCAGGATTTCAACACCCTAAACAACACACCCATATACTGTACTCTCCTAACAAAACTTCATACAAATGACGCCCAAACACACATTTTTTTGATTTTCATTTAGAAAATGCAGCCCCTTAATGATAACATATTGCTTTTTTTATTACCCTTTTAATAAATAATCAGCAACCGCAAGTTATAAAAGCCCCAGCAGATCACTTACATTAATATTTACTGCTAATTCTTACATCCACACTTAGAAAAGCGTCCACATGGGGGTGTATGTAACAGTTTTTTTCTGGCTTTGTCTCATTAGACTCTGTTTTAAAACTTTTTGGGTAGTTTCTCACAGTACAGCTCTATGGAATAAAAATGCTAACACGCACAAATAATACATATTAAATACTTTTGTTTTGGCATGCATTTAAACACTCTGCTTGTTCAAATTACTTATTTAAAATGAGCTGAACGAAACAATTCTTGATATTTTTGGAGGGGATAAACTTAATCATTGCAAAGCGTCTCTATTTGCAAGTTCCACGATCAAGCTTAAAATGTCGGGGTGATAGAGCTTTCTCAGTAGCAGCTCCAAGACTTTGGAACGATCTTCCCCTCTCCTTTTCAGAGCCTTTTCAGAGGTCACTGAAAACACACTTATTTTATTTAGGTTTTAATCATGTGATATGAGTTTATGTATTTTGATTTTGTGTATATTTGCATGCGTTTTATGTGTTTTATGTACAGCACTTTGGTACCCATTGTGGTTTGTTGAAAGTGCCATAGAAATAAAGTGAGTTGAGTTAATGGTTTTATGTTCAATCCACTTAAATTAATCCATTTGAGTTGGGAAAACTTGAATGAATTGTGTGGAACCCAGCACTTTTTACACTGCACTTTGTAAATTATACAGTGAAGTATATAGTAATATGTGTATTTGCATATATATATGCATTTCTTTATTGATAAAACCCTGTCCTTTGCACCTGCCTGCTGACTCATCTATTCCTCACCTTGGCAAGACACTGCAGACTTTATTAACACACACACACACACACACACACGAAACGCTCTTACTTTCGATGGCCTTGGAAACAGCAGAGGTGAGATTCCCTAACTTAAACAACATTGTCAGCTTTCTGTGGCTCTCATTTTATTCTCAAGGTTTGGCATTACTGTTTATTCAGAGTGTGTTGTCAGTGCGTTGGCTGAGGACTGTGCGGCATCTCAAACAATAAAGAAGCAACAAGAAAAAAATTTGGTTAATGATTTATGGTGATTGTTAAAAAGTTGTGTGAACTTCTGAATTGGGTCTGAGACTTTAGTTTAGCAACAAATTGACACGTCTTGTTCTTGCACAGAGACATTTTCATTTGCTGAAGCAGATTTATGTTGCCTAGCCACCTCACATTGGTGAGCAGGTGATGTAAATAGGTTACTGTGGCAAAAGAACATGACCTTTAATGCCCAGAGACAGAGATTCATTAGACGTAAACATGCAGCTCTGCTCTATTCTTTGCATAATTAATTACACCACTCTGTTCATTAACTAAAGAAGTAATAGAACAAGAGCTTTTTATAAGATTCTATTGGTTATTATTGGTTTTTAAGGTATTGAGCTTTAAAGCTGTTGGATTCTGTATAAGCTAAAATTATATCTTTCAGAATTGATCATAATAAAGACCTAAATGTATTTTAAATGAACAATAAAGTAATCCTATTTTTAATGCAGGTTTTATGTAGGTTTTTTATGTAGGAACAGGTCAAATGCAAAAAGTGTCTTTACTCCCACAAACAATTGATCCTATATTTGCTGAGACACCTGGGACTGAGAGTCAGCTCCAAAGGTTCAGTGTGAAAAGACTAAAACATGACCATTTCCATTACTATACCACTACACAACTCAGAGAAGCCTTAATGAATAGATAAGAGCATTTTTAGTGCCTGAACAAAACTTTAAAAAAACAGATTTCTAGGGTGATTCTTTCTGTAGAATATATAATTGCAACAGGAGGTGACGCCTGCATAGGTGTGGACATCAGTAAATTATTTTCTCAGCACATCATTAATTTTGATTTATACATCGGAAACATTAGTCTAAAATATAACAGTATAGCACATGCTAACTGTTACATAATGCCGAACTCGTTTGTTTACAAGCAAATCGTGTTTGTTTGCCAGTAATTTAGAGGACTGATTTGTAATATCAATCCTATTATTGTTAATTACACTTTTTCGTGGTAAAAATAGCATTTAACATAGCCTCCTAATTAGAGATGGTAACTGAGAACCACTTTTTTGTATCAATATTGTAAAAATATTGATAATCTCAATTGAAATCATCACACGGTCAACATTTGTTCAACGTTCGTGATGCACATAACCTTGTGCATGTGTGGGTTGTTTTTATGTGCAGACAGTCGGTCATGGTGGCTACTGCTAGTTCAAAAATGTGGGCTGAGAAGACAAAGCTAAAATACACCAGTGTAAATGCAGACATCCCACCTCCTTTATGCGGGAGACTCCCACATATTCATAGTGGCTCCTTGAAATTAGATACAATATCTCAGAAATTTGAGGCAAGAGAGAGAATCAGCAACTTGAGTGAGAGAATATTTTTTTATCACATATAAGCCTTAATGGTGCTGCCTGTAAGTTTTTGAGTCATTTAAAGTAAAAAAAAATGCAAAGATTTGCAGATAAATACGAAGCATGCTAAGTGAGCATATTTATCTGAAAAACAAAGCTAAAGTCAGATATTCTCCTTTGAAAATGTGTGTTCTGTGTCAGAATGTTTGTCTTTGTTCTGGACTGTGTAACTCCTCCCACTGACAGTTTACCCAGTAATATTTTGAATGTATGTAATGCGACCTCCAGAGCAGCCTCCAAACTGAGACCGATTCAGATCCAAATCAGGTTGTTATCCATATTTGAGGTGGTTTTTAACATTTGCAACACAAATATTACAAAAGTAAACATTAGCTGACCAGCTTGCATTAAAAAGCTGCAGTCAGTGGACCAGAATCCCAAGCTCATGCGACAAGTTTAGCATATCGCTACATCCCAAAGTTCAAGCTTGGTTAACTCTGACCTGCGAAATCGCATCCCGTGATTGCGCGAGACCAATCAAAACTTGTACAGAATTTTTAAATATGAAGCAATCGCTCATTATTATAAAACGCTTTATAAATATCTAAACATCTTCCTTTATTCTGCCCCTTTACGTAGAATACTCAAACACTTTGTATGAAGTGGTTAACGCCTGCATTAGCCAGAGTTTACTGTGCCAAATAATTGCCAAAGGTGGCACACTTATGTTTTAAAATAACTGGGCCACATTTTCACCCACACGTGTTAGCCACTTTAGGTTTAGATACAAATTACCCTTATATGACTATGCCACATTTTTAACCAACTGTGGCCCACATTTGTACTCCATCATTTTGGCCAAATTTACCGTTTTCCACATGGGCCACATTAGGCTCACATTCGGATTAAATTTTGCCATTAGTGCCAAATCTTTACCCTAAATGGCCCATATATGAATTTGAATCTTTAACCCCCCTTTGCCATTGCACAGAAGAAGACATGTAAACTCGGCACAGAAAGACAACTGGCCTGTTCAGGATTGACAGTGATGTTCTTGCTGTGAGGCACAAGTGCTAACCACTGGGCCACCATGCCCCCCTATAAAGGGAAAGGTAGAGAAGTAGGGGTGGAAGGTGGGATTCCTCAAGGCTAAGATAACTGAAGTAAAAAAAAAAAAAACTCTGGTTATTTAAAGTGAGTTAGGCATCATCTGATTGGTAAATCATGTGTTAGCTAAGGCGAGACAAGTCATGATCAATCATAAGCACGTGATCTTTAAGAAATTATTTTTTAAATAAACTTGACTTCAAACATTACATAAACTCAAAAGAAGCCTATTTATTCTGTTTTAAAAATCAGAGGACAGTAACATCTGGGTAGAACTGCCAACTTTCATAGAGTCACAACACAGCTGTAGCTCAACTCTTATATAACTTCTCAGCTATTGTGTAACAACTAAAAAAAAAAAAAAAACTTGTTTTTATCTTTTCAGGATTAAATGTGCCTTAGTTTGTACAAATGTATTCCAAAATAAAATCCTATCAGAGTTGTTAACTAAAATGTTACAGGTTCAAACTCCAAAAACAAGCGAATCCTTTGCTGTTTTGCCCTTGAAAAAGGCACCAGGATGCTCCAGGGGGTCTCTGCCAAATGAATAAATGTTAATGTAATATATCTCAGGCCAGTGATCACATGATATCTAATATGAAAGTCACATGGCATGTTCTGCCAGAGACTTTTTATCATTATAATTACAGCCACATAAAAGCTGCATTATTAAAGAGCAGGAATCGACCATCACTGAATCATTTAGAAAAAAAAAAAAAACGCACAACTATGGCGTAGCCTCCAACTGATATTTTGGTGCTCCACACTATAATGGAAAAGCAGTGTGGTAGTGTGCATAACAACGAGAAAGGTCATGTATTTGTGTGTGTGTGTGTGTAAGAGTGGACACACAGCACAGGAAGTACTCAGGTCTGCAGGCCAATCCAATTGGCATTTAATTAACTGGGGACTCAGATCAGGGAGTTTACCCTTCTAAATCAATCCCCTATCCCGAGACTAAACGCTCACACACGTACAAACACACATGGTGGATTACACAGGTGGATTAGCAGGGTTTGTCTGGCAACGTGTCGGTTGGAGATGAGTTTGCAGATCGTGGCGTAAAGGGCGATGCAACCTTTGCACCAAAACAAACAGCCGTGTCATTGCATGTGTGCGCGAGTGTGATAGAGAATAGTGCGTGTCGGCTTGGCAATGGACCACACATACACAGCAAACAGTGGAATGCAAGCAAACACACACTAAGCATCTGAGCTTGCTTGAATGAGTCAGTTGGTCGCTGCATCATATCTGTTGGTGCTATTTAAAATTAGCATCTAGCAGCTAATATGACCACATTTGCATTTCCAT